CAGTTTCAGTAGGGCGAAGTGGAGAAAATGACGCCGTCATAAACGCGACCATTACCTAGTAGTAGTAGTAGTAGCAGTAGTAGTAGTAGTGGTAGTAGTAGTAGTAGTGTCAGTAGTAGTAGTAGTAGTAGTGGTAGTAGTAGTGGTAGTAGTAGTGGTAGTAGTAGCAGCAGCAGCAGCAGTAGTTGTTGTTGTTGTCGTCATCGTCGTCGTCGTCGTCGTCGCCGCCGCCGTCGTCATCGTCGTCGTAGTAGTAGTAGTAGTAGTAGCAGCAGCAGCATTGGCAGCAGCAGTAGCAGTGATAGTAGTAGTAATAAGAATAATGAGAATAATTGCCAGAGGACGGCACCTGAGAGAAGATGAGCGAGATCAAGTCCGCTTCACGCGCACAGACCAGTTTGAGCAGTGGTTCCTCGCATCTGCTCCTGGCAATCCGGCGCCTCGACCCTTTACACATATGACTATGTATTATTGTTTTTCTCGTTTTTATTCTTGTCTCTACTCTTCTTCGTATTGCGACTGCTATGTTTACTACTATCGGCCAATCTTTCGTTGGCACACGTCTTGGGCTTTTGGCATTATGGTTCAGGGTATGTAGGGCTGCAGGCTCAGGGTGTAAGGCGTAAGAGCTTAGGAGCTGATAGGGCTTGTCTTAGGGTTTAGGGTTCAGGGTGGCGGATGGATTCCCGAGACTTTTTGGCATGTTGGGACCCTTAGCTTGTGCTTCCCAGGGCCCGAGGGTCTGGCAGACCTTGAGCTTGTACAGGGTTCAAGATTTCCACATAGAGGTTTCCTTCAACACGCGTGGGCAGCATGTCGATTGACGACTTCCTGCATTCGTGACCCCCGATAAAGGTTTAGGGTAGATTCCAGACACTGCAGATGTTTGTAGAACTTGCTGCAGTAAAAGAAAACATGCTGCATGGGAAGCTCAGAAACCGCACCACCATATATGGTAGTTTCCACGGACTTGTCCATTAACCCTGTCCTCAGCATGGTAAGACACCCACCCGCTTGATGGTGAGTTTTCTGGAAATTTAGATCATGACATTACATTTGATACCTGGTTTCGTCTTGGGGCATTACACACAGAGCAAATGATTTGAAAGACCCTGTAGTCAGGTGAAATGATACGTACATCCCTGAAAACTAGCCCATTCTAGCCTGATACTGTAACTCTGTACAAGTAAGTTCCCCAAGCCCTGACTATGAAAATGAAAGTGGAAACAAATTATTGAGGACAATCAGAAACGCCAATTTTCCATTTATTCCCTATTGGCAGCCAACAAACTTGGCAAAACTATTGCGGATGAAAGAAAGCTTGCACCACGTTATATTCTAGGACTCCCCCCCAAAAAAAATTCCAGTATTCAGAGGTTCCTAAGTGGTGCACTTTTTTTTTCCACGCACGGTAGCGTGCCACTAAGTAAGGTCTTGTTGCGTTGCCTGGAGCTTATCAAGGAGAAGTTCCTCCGGAGGTCACGTCTCGGAAGTGCACTGTAGATGCCTGAATGACTGCCAGTATCATTCCCTAGCAACCATAATTATATGCTACAATCTATGCCCAAGCCCTATTCGAACTTCTTCGGCCCCGCCATGCAACATACCTTCCAGCAGAAAGGGGTCGAGCACGCAGACCCACATGGTAAAGGTTTAGGTTTTGTAGGGTTGAAGGTTTGGGGAACATACCTGGAGGGCTCATGGGTAATTGCCATTGGCTTTGTAGATAGCATAGTATGAGTAGTTAGTTCCCGACCTCACCCGACTCCACCCGAAAGCTCATACGAAATGGTCCGACCATGGCTTCATCTCAGGCCTGAGAATTTTTCTCAAGTATCCAATTCTAATCCTTTGCCCGTTACAATCCACCCGCAACCCCTCTAGATCCAGAACAGAGTCCTATTTCTAGACGCTAGAATCAGAAGTGGCGTCATGTTTCCAAAATTTAACTAGGGGAACAAGCGAGCAACTGCAGGGACGACCCAAGCATCATGTACTTGGACTCCGTATGTTCAGTCTTGTGTTTAGAAGGAGATGTGATACAAGGAACATCCAGGGTTCATGTAGGGATGAGGATCTCTTCCTTCACTCTCCTAAACCCATATAAAGGCATTGAGCCCCCTTCTAAATAGAGCCCCCTAAACATTGAACCCCTTTTACAGACAGCCCATTGGTGATGTCCATGTTAGTTCAGGGAAGTCAAGTTTTTTCTTGAAGGATCGAGTCCACGCTGGAGCTAACGGGGCCGGCCACCTTCACTGACGCAGTCAATGAGTTCTTGGTGATGGACTCTCCGGAATCTCTGGCATTTGGGGTTTCTAGAGGGGCCTTGAATTGTTGCCAGAGTTCCAAGTAGATGGTCCGGGTGGTGGAGGAGTTCAATTCTGGCTGCCGATTTTGAAGGTTCAGGTCACTTGGTTTTCGGGTGTGAGCGCAGAGTTTAATCGCAAGGTGGGAATTTCTCGCAATAGTTGTTTCAAAGCCCTTCAATTTTTTCTACGTGCGGCCCTGACTTTGTGGGATCCTGGAGTTAGGTGATACGATGTATTATCTTTAAACGGCCCATTCAGCTCTGTAACTCTTTGCCGTTAGGTTACCTAACCGATTAAGAACCCCAGGGTGATACAAAGTATCAGGGATCATAGGAATCATTTCCAACCCTAGGGGGTCTCCTTAATGAGAGGTTGATAGTCCCCCAAGTCAAACTGCAAGCCCCATGGTCAGTTCAGGGGCAGACAAGGCGGTACGCGGCGATGGGAATGTAAGGGGCGTGTGAGGTCTTCTTGAAGGGTGGGGTCGGATACCTATTGGGTGTAGAAGGCTTATGAGGCGTTCTCTCCCCGGTTATTGTCCTAGACACGTCAGGGATAGAAGGGAGCAAAACCTTTAACCCTAAACCACTTTTTCAAGGAAGCCTTGTCCAATTTGATTGCGAGTCGCAGCTCCAATGATCGTCTATTCCCCAGTGAGCGCCTCTACGTGCGGGGCAACTGGACAATGCGGCTGCGCTGGATCAGCACAGAATTTCACTATCTGAATGGATTGGAGTTCCAAATCCAGTTCACTTGCAGTGCTACTAACGATAGCAATCATAGTTTCTGCTAGGTGCCCAGCTAATTAGCTGTAGGCTCAAAATGGCATCAATGACAGCACTTGTTCAAACCTGCTGAGGTGGGTCTTAGCTGCGCAGCGCACATCCAGCCCTGGGTTCAGCAGTGCTGATGACCCCGCAGCCTGGACATGAGCTAGGGTTTAGGTTTTTGGGTTTGGGGTTTAGGGTTTAGAGGAGCCGACACAACCGCAGGTAACAAATCAAGATAAGCATATACGGTTTGTCTAGCCAGGATTCTTACATGTTGGTGGTATACACTGTTTGTGTCAACCTTCGCGAAATCCTACAAGGGTAAGAACCTGTGCAGTAAAGCCTGGGATCACCTCTAGAAGCATTCTTGTCAGTTTACCAACATATTATTGTCCTTGCTCTTGTCTCTTTGCTATTGTTTTTTTTCCGACATGTGTTTGTGATTGGTTTTGTCACTTCATGTTCACTGTGAACCCCTTGTCGCCTTTGTCCTTTACATGGCTTCAGTTCGGTGTTCCTTGTCGTTTGGTTAGTTCCGTTTCTCAGGCTTTGCAAATGGTAGTTAGCACAAGTAAGGGACCCCAATCTAGATCCGAATGAAATGCAAGGCTTACTATGGGGAACCCTGAAGTGCTACCCATCATTGTGGTAGTCTACCAAAATGAGGTGACCCCAATATAGACTTCAAAATATCACAATCCTTATTATTGGGACTTCTGGGGTCCCTTAAAAGGTACCCCTAAGGCAGTTGGAAACCCCATTTGTTATCGTTCGTGCAGTAGCAAGCAAGTTGCTGGGATTGGAGCTGGGGAGATGCACCGGGAGGCTGTTGTCCGGATGGGCTCTGCCTGACGCTTGAAAGCTACATGCGCAGAAGTACACCTTCGCAAGATAGCAGCTTCACTTCCTGGGACTAAGTTCGATGCAAGCACGGCCAAAACAGCTGCGCTGCACTTACTAGTGGGCTTGTTGGCCTGGAGGGTAGGAGCTGATGTGGGGCAGCCCGATTCTGCCCGCCGCTTAGGGTCCGGGTAGGCGCCGCGGGGGCAGCCGCCCGCGTCAAGCAATTTTGGGGGCCGGGGGTTTCATCAAGGCATGTCATTTTTGCACGGTTGTTGACATGTTTTCCTCATGTTTTTGTCTAATTGTGTGTCGTGTTTTGACCTTCCCTCAAACCCAGGTCATTTGTTGTCTTTCCCCGTGCCATTGTCCAGACCCCTTCTCGATTGTTGTCACTGCCTCGTCCTTTCCTGACTCCTTACACCACCAGGAGTCGCCACAACTTCTGTCCAGCAGACACTGGTCCTAAACTTGATGCCAGCAACTGGCGCGCAAAAAGACTTTACAGAACTTCTAGAGCTGCTAGAGAATGCTCAAAAACAAAATGTGGCCAACTTCCCTGGCAATGGCTCCTTGTACGTGATGTCAGCCTTGCAAAAGTCGGAATGCAGCGAGCGACCGTGGTTGGCGGACTTTGCTGCGTGACAGCACAATGGTCCCCAAATGACCAAGTAATTGCACTTACACTGAAGAAACGCAAACGTAAAAGGACAGCAACACATCAGACAACATGCCCCTCACCCAAGCCCAAGGAACGATAGAAAATGAGAAACAAGAGCCAGTCGCACTTGACCTTTCCAACGTTTGAAGGGTTAGAATTCTTACTGATTCTTTTCATCCTACGAGGAGTTTCCACCAATTGGGAGCTTGGGTGTCCCCAAGAAGGTTTCTCGTGTTTGCAGGTACCTCCAGTTTTGGAAATACTCGTATGTGTAAAAATATGTCTCCAGCTCAATAGCCATCTTTCGTGGGTTCTGATTGTGCAGACGACTTTTTCGGAATGTATATATATATATATATGTATACTCATTTGTACATCTACAGACTTTCCTCCGCCAGCATCCACACAGGCAATTCCGCTCGTCACCCACCATTTCAGGGGGACGTGGAAGCCAGAACACAGCAAGTTTTGAGAATTCGCAGAGACTCCAACGGTTTTTTCGTGTTGGCCTACATAGGGGTGGTACAAGACTGCCTGCATCAGTAGCATCTGTTGCCTCAAGAGGTTTGGAGTCTCTGATTTAGAGGGTCGGTACAGGGGCCCTTAGGCTCTCAGCATCATAGCACCAGTTTGAACGCGGGAGTTTCAGGCTAGCCGTATAAGAACAATGGCACAGATTATTTGCTTAAACTGCCACAGGGAATGTCCGGAAGCTCTCCAGCATGCATGTCCGAAGTGCCAGACGCGCGCGCCAAAGAAACTGTCCGACTGCACAAGCATTTCAACAGGGATGAAGTGCAGAAGGTTTTCCGAATCATGTCTTTTGAATTGCTTCGTCCTACCTGACTAACCATCGAAGTGTGACAGCAGCAGACTGACGTAGACCGTGTTTGCATGCAATCGTGATCGCAATCGGAGTGCTGAGGCTTCCACAAAGAACTCAGCAGGGACGCTCACACAGTATCATATCCTTGGACAGTTTGCTTGGAACTTCAAGCCTTGTGGCTTAATCTAGCTTGCTCTGTGTTGGTTATGAGGAAAAACATCATGGTCTCGCGCAACACACGTTGGCCGAATTACATGGACCTCATCCGACCTCCTCCCAAATGACATGGTGGCTTAAGTCCCTATAAACCCACGTAGAAAATGGTCCAAACTGTCTTCATTCTGGACTGCTCCGGCTCTGCGATCTTATAAAACTGCTGTTATTGCATCGGCCTGGGGTTTAGGGCTTCGATTCAATCTCGTCCCCCAAAGGTTTAGGGTTTGGGGTTTGCCCAAGTAACAGGTCTAGTATTGTTATCATTACTGTTACTGGTACCATTAAGGCTCTTACTATTACCATTCTTAGAATTACGATTTTAACTTAGGTGGACCCCACCCAGTAATAGTGACTATGAAGGAGAATTGTGATTATATTAGGGTCCGCTTATCATATTCCTAATATACCACATATATCACTATCACAGGGTGGAGGTCCTCCTAAATTATTATTATTATTATGAGTCATAATTATGACACTTCCCCCATATATTAGAAGCAGATTGGAGCATTGGAGCATTCAGGGCGGCGAGGAGGGAATTAGTAAAAAGAACCTTTGTCGCGCCCTACTCCTCCTACTCAACAGCAAAGTTCTAGCCTCAAAACACTGGCTGAGCACCGGGGTTCCCAAAATTTGGGGTCCCTACAATATGGCCTACAGAGGCCTATAGTGCATTGGGACATAGAAGGGTGAGCCCCACTTAATTCGTGGAAATCATCCATATTCGATATAGGAGCCTTTCAAGCAGAATCCTACCATAAAAACTTCAATTGAGACCTCCGTATTTCTCTTATGATCCCCATATCCTTTGTCCCTAGGGGTACCCGGAAGATGGGAAACCCCCACGCGACCAACTTTTGCAATCCGTACCCTTCAGGCGATGCCTGCATGCGCGGATTCCGGATACGTGCTGACCAGAGGTTGCGAAGAATACTGACCATGCTTGAGGGGCCACGGTCTAGAAGCAGAATGGTGTTCAGGGTTGATGAAGCTCAGGAATGTGTAGTGTACGTCTTGAGTATGTTCAGGTGGAATTCAGTTCACCGCAAGCTGAAGATCATTGCGCCTGTTAGTGGGCCATGAGGTATTCATACTTCCAATACAGGTGGCCGCTTTCGAAGAAGATCTAACAGGTTTCGGCGCGGACTGCATGTTGAGAGGTGCCTGTGTCATCTTTTCAATACAGATGGAAAACAGTTGCTAGGGCCATTGCGGTTACGATTGCCAGTGCTTACACTGTTATCACAATGAGTATTAAAGTTGCTACTAGCATTGCCCTCTTTTAAAGGAGGCTTTTGTCATTATCATTCTACTACTATTAGTAGCGTTGTTATTGCTGTCTTGCTTGTACCTGTATTTCTACTATTACCACCACTACCACCACCGCCGCCGCCGCCACCACCACCACCACCACCACCACGACTACTACTACTACTACTACGACTACTACTACCACTGCTACTACTAGAACTTCTCCTACTCCTACTCCTGC